TGGGCAATCCTACTTCCATAGTGATACTGCCTCGGAAACCCAAGAAGGGGTCGCTATGAGTCGGGGCCGACTCGATGGCACATAACAACAACAACAACATATATAAATTTCTTAGTCATATATATATATATGTATATACACATACATACATATATCCATGTTAGCAAATCTAGCTTCCATTGCATGACTGTGATGCAGGCATTTTGATCCCCATTTTATAAAGGTATATTTAATGCTCTTCCATTAAACTGAAGACTAGGCTTTCCTACCAGCAGCCCCAGGGAGGAGAGGGCTTGGGTATCACTTACTCTTCATTCAGGGCACACCGACGATTGGTGAGCGTGCCATATTTTCTCAGCGTGTCAGTGAGCTCCAAGTAGAGTTTGTCAGCCAGAGACAGTGGGATTCCTTCCCAAACCAAGATGAGAATCACAATCACTGCAGCCTCACAGGTGTGGCCTGCTCGCTCCCGTACCAAACACAGCAGCTTCTCCTCACTGCAGCTTCTCCGAACCACCTGTGCGAGTCATCATTCCACCCAAACACCCCCCACCCCAAACAAAACAAAAAAGGGTCACTTACAGCAGATGAGAGCAATGATTCATGTATGTATATTTTTCACATCTGGGACATAATTAGGACAACATTTACCAGGACCTGCAACTTGTCTTTTGCGGTCCACCTATAAAATGGGGCTTAACCCTAGTATCAGAATAGGGAAAGATGCTGAACTATCTGGATGTTTAATAGATTAAATCCAAGTACAGTGAGGGTGATGCCACCTGCACTAAAGCCAGAGCTTGATGAAAGACATGCAGGTCTTCTTTATAAAGTTAAAAGTCTTCATAAATCTTGATGCAAAGATTAACTGAGGGCACTAAAAGAATTAAAAACAACTTCCTCACATTCCAGGAAGAACTACACTTTTAGTAGGCACTAGATTGGACCTCCGACTCACCATAAAATCCTTTCCATTAAATAATTTGCGTAGCATTTTAAAACTAATCTGCCTTCTTCATAAGAGATAAGACATGATAAAATAAATATATACAATATTTCTCTCATGTGGCATAATACAACTCTTTAAACTGAGTAACTCGATTCCTGGGGTTGGATTAATAAACTATAGTGTCCAAAATTGAAGACCAAAGTCCTTGTCAAGTCACACTTACCCATTTAGCAATAGGACATCCCTGAGAACTTTTGCCTTCTTTACCAGTATAGACCACTCTTTCAATCCTAATAGCTTTACCCTTCTGTCCAAACCTTAAAGAAATCCACAGAAACACACACATATACAATCAGCAAATGAATCTAGTGGCAAACAAAATATTGAACATTTGAGCATAATTTTATTCTATGACCATATCCTGAGAAATGAATGGTTTAATTTATTTTTAAAAGAGGCCTAAGCCAAGCAAACTGGATAATTGCCTTTAAATCTTGTTTTTCATCATCAGTTTCAAAATATACTGATAATTGTAATGAACTATTTTGTAAGTTATATGTTGCTAAAATTAATGGGAAAGCCTATTTCTACACACAATTTCACAAAGCATGAAATTTTTTGTAGTATGCTAAATTCAGTCTTCCAAACATACACTAGTTGTTTTTGTCCTTTACTAAATTTAGTTATTTTTAAATTTAGGGAATCATAATAGATTTTAGTTATAACTAGTCCTCAAAGAATCTCTAACATTTTTTAAAAGGGGCTGACAAGTAATTACAGTCACTTTTAATATGTAGGATTTACTAGAAATATTTAATTTTCTCTTATGACTAAGGTAGTACTTACTACTAGCTAATAACAAAAAGGAACTTAGGGAAATTCACTATTTTTGCCAGGCTACTAGATGGTTTATTCAGTGAATTGCTACAGGCTAATTTAGAAATAAGGAATTTAGAAATGAAGAATGAGAATGAATATATTCTTGCTGCTTAGAATGTCCCCTATTGCATTTTCTTGATAACACTGCCTACCTATTTCAAGAAAAGGCACCTGCCATAGGAACAGCTCAATGCTCTAGACACCCTTCTGAAAGTCCTGCTCTAGACACCTATCTGAAAGTCAGCTCTTCACTAACTACCTCCTTCATCAGAGTGTTCTACCTTCAGGAGTAACTGTGGGGATTCAGGTAAATACTTACATACTGGTGACTGATAGACGAAAACAAACAAACAAAAACTCTGCTATAAATAGAATGTGTTTCTATTTTTATTCAGCATATCACATTTGCTCTTGGGTCTTAAGGGACAACTCCCTTAGAGATTACTACTCATTTACAACTTTACATCTCTAGGTGAACTTATTCAATGGTTTCTTTCTTATACACTCCTGCCTCCCCTCCCCGCCTCCTTGCCACTTTATCAAGTGGAAAAGCCAGAGTGGGGCCTCTCTCTTTGCAGCCAGTGCCAGCACCCTTGTGCCTGGCAGGCTGACTGGCTGCTTCTTGTTCGTGGCTGGGTTTTCTGGCATCCACCTCAAAGTGGGCAGCTGGTGCCAGCTAGCTGACTATTAGCCCTGTCAAATATTGTGACTCTCCGGTGAATAGCACAGTGTGTAGTGTTGGCAACCCTGGAAGAGCTAAGTCTACTAATAATTACTTGATTTACAATTGTTTACTGCTTTGTGTGTGAAGGCTGGAAAAATTCTGACATATACAAAAGGATAAACGTTAATCTGCCCTGTGCCTTTGCGTTAATTACCTTTCTTCCATGATTTCTCTAATAGCTGCCACATTAGGACCTGCTCCTAGATGGGTATAAAAAGGACCTTCATCTTTTTCAATAATTTGCTCTGTTGAGATAATAGAAGATTATTATTTTAGACCTCAATTACACTAAATATAAAGGCTACATCCACAAACTTTATCCCCCAAGTGTACATTAAGGGCCCTAAATGTGACTTTAATTTTTTTTTTCTTTAAAATGAGTAAATTGATGGACTGATCTCTATTAAAGAATGTGCCAAATAACTAAATATATGTGCATGCTGGCTCCTGGATAAAAATATATTAAATTACATTTCAGATATGGGATACGAAATTGTTTTTTATAAACCAAATAAGTGGAACTAAGCAAAGAAGACAGCGAGGGAATTAAAATGTATTATATGTAGTACCAACTACAGTCCAACTTCTTAAACTGAAAAAAAATCTAAAGCTAATTAGTTGCCTGCCTGCCACTGGGATGTTAAATGATTAAAAAGTAAATTTCCTGCTTTATCCCACCCCCAGATTATTGCTCAGTTTATTGTTAAGGATCTTTCTCTCCTCTTGTTTTTCTATAACACTTAATTATTCTGTTTTTAAAATAAGATATTAAATCCAGACCCATATTTGTACGTACTTTAAAGCAATTTATGACAAGAGAAAATACTGGAGAGAGAGTCAGGTGAAAGAAAGAAGCAGTTACAAACTACCAAAGATGGGAAAGTGAGAATATAGGGGTAGGGTGATAAGAGAAGGAAATGAAGACGATTATAACTTACCTAATAATAACTATAGGAGCTCTGGTAGCATAGTGCCTAAGGCATTTGACTGCTAACCAGACGGCTGGTGGTTCAAGCCCACCAGCCTCTCCTCAGAAGGAATGTTGGGCAATCTATTTCCGCAGAGATACCGCCTCAGAAACCTGAGGAGGGGTAACTAAGAGTCCAATTGACTCGACAGCAGTGAATTTTAATAATACCTATGATATGTGTGGCACCTTAGCCAAGCCAGGAAACTTAATATTGACCACACGCAAAGAGGGGCAGTGTAGATCTTCCCTTTATCCCTTCTATAAAGTGTGGTACCAGTATCTCATTGTAAGAGGTAAAGCATAGGATAGGCAGACCATCAGCCACATTAGTTTAACATTCATGCTTTTTCAAATCTCTTCTACTGCATCCAAGGTGAGAAACTGTAATTAAGTCATTTTTCTTCTCCACCCACAGACATATATGCATCTATCGGCAAAAATGTTCCCCTATTCCTACAGACCTATGACATACCCAGAATTTTAACCAAAAGGTGCCTTTTTTTTTTTTTTTTTTTTTTTAAGATACCACATTTTAACCCAAAGGATGAAACTTTAAAGAAAAAATGGAATCAAATGAATATAAATGACACCATGTTTCAAGTGTGTAAATGGTAACTCTTTAGCAGTATTCAGAGCTTCAGCATGACAATTTCTCCCAATTCACCAAGACTGAAGATAATAATTTCCCCCTTATACAGAGTTTATTATTGTAACACTACTAATGTCTTAAAAAAATATTAAAAGTTCCTTCATTAGTTTGCACATGGATGCTATCTTCTCATTTTAATGGATGTTTCTTACTGCCTGGCTATCTCTCCAGGAGATGACAGGAGATAGAGTCAAATGATCAATTAATCTGAAACAGATTCATTGATATTTTTTAAAGGGTCTGAATAGAGGGAAAAATTAACATGTACAAGTGTCTTAATTTCTTTTTTGGAAAAATTGTATGTAATGAATTTCTTTCTTGCACAGCATTAGCATCTGTAATTTAAAGACAAAAATGTAAGCTTCAGAGGTTTATAAGCCTTTTACATATTGCTGGCAGACTCAAGATTTTTTTTTTCTTAAAAAAAGAAAATCCCACATCTGAAGATAATTTTTTTAATTCTGGATAAACACCATGTGTTTCAATATATTTTTGGCACTTACCTACACATCTGCATGATGGGAAATCATATTGAGTCTTGACAGGTGTATCCAATAAATTTTTTATAGGCGTATCTAGTAATTTGGAAGGTGATTCTAAAAAATTATTGAGAACAGAACCAGCTGTTCTTTTGGTCGGTGTCTTTTCTGAAGAAGGAGTTGCTTGCTGCTCTAAAGCTGGGGTGTGACTATCAAGTTCTGCAGCCGTGGTGTGTCTAGTTAACACCGTGACTGGCCCTGACATTTCAACTTTTACTTGCTTTTGTGACCTGTGTGTAGGAGCCTTATGGTCAAACAATGATTTGACCTGAAACTGCTTCAGATGCTGCTCCATAGTCTCAATGATGCTCTTTTGCTGCACATTATCACAGCTCAGAGGTGGAATATCTTGCTTTGTTACCTTTTTCCACATTTTGTTTTCTGGCTGTGCTGACATGGGGTGCATACACGCATGGGGCTTGGACCCAGGTTCAACTTTAATGGGCCTATGCATCTGATTATGGCAAGTCTCAGTTTGTGATTGTTGTGTTTTCTGCTGTTCTTGTCTCTGTAAGAGATGCCACCTTAGAGCAGTATACTTTTGATGGACTGGGGAGGGTTCTGAATGTGACTTCTGGGGAGGGTTCTGAATGTGACTTCCTCCCTGGTCAGGCACAGAGAAAGCATTTGCTTGGTTATGCATCAAGTACCTTTGTTGAGTGAGTTGTGCAGCTTGTTGACTAGACATATCTTGGTTTCTACTCTTATGTCCTTGTAGAGCTGAAGCTTGTTGTGGCTTCTGCTCCTGTTGTTGAAAGCACCTATGAAAAACCTCCTGCTTTGGGGTCACATTATTTGGAAAATATTGCATATGGTGCAAGTTTTGAGTCTTGTTTCCTACCAAAAGTTCAGAATTTATGGTCTGCGCTTTCTTCTCTGGAACTAGGTGTGTACTGTTTGCACAAGAAAGATGTACATTGCTTGCATTTGATTTCAGCATATGACCATAAGAGGAATTTCTACTATTCATATTCTGCCCTTGCTCCAGTCCCATTTGAGGGTTATGAGTCTGGAACTCACTTGATTTTAAATACTGATTTTTACCCTGAAAACATTCTTCCACTTTAATCTGGCCAAAGAATGATCCTTCTCTTTGCTGATCATTGTTGCTTTGGGGATGTGAAAAAGCCTGGGGCATGTGTTCTTTTTTCTTCATTTGTAATTTTTGCTGTTGTTGCTGGTTTTGAGGGAGACGTGAACTCTGGGATGGTTGTGTTTGTGCTGCCTGCTTATGAGGCTTATACTGTAAAAGGCGTGAGTTTGAGAAAGGCTCAGTCTTTGAAGCCTGTTGATTCAAGTGCTGTTTTAATGATGTAGGCATGAGTTTCTCAGTTTGAGGATCTGGTCTTGATTGGAAATGAAGTCTAGGGGCACAGAGTGACTGCACGTGAGCTTCAGATGAAGGGTTTGTCTTGGAGAACTGCATATGTGGTGAGGGTTTTCGGAATTGGAGATGCTGGTCCACAGTACCTACAGACTGCATTTGATTCATCTCAACTTGGTACATTTGTGACCTCTGTTTTGGCTGCATTATTTCCTGGACGTAAGTTTGCCCTGGGAGCACCCCAGGCATGTTGGAATTTCTAGTGTATTGTTCGGAGGTCATCTGATTGGAAGGATTGGATTCATGCTGAAGAACTGACCGCAGTGATGCCTTATATTTTGGATGGGATTCTGCTTGATGAAATTGAGAGGCTTTCAATTTAGTCCACCCTGGTTTCAGATAAGACTGTATTGGGTGCTCAAGATCTCGTGCTTGTTCCTTGTCTTGATCCTTTAGAATCTCTTTGTATCCCATCAACTGCTGGCAGTGGCCCTGTTGTTCTGCACTGCTATCAAAAATTGGTGAATTATGCTTGAGATGTTCTGATAATTGTCTTGTTTTCTCAGAACACAATGGAGCCACCATTGTCCCTGGGGTCCATATCTCATTCTTGTTGACACAATTATTCAGAGGCCCTTCTGGAATAATTAGAGAGGGACTGGATGCATGTTTAGATCGGTTAGGACTCTGGGATGGTGGTGCCTCTGGTGTACTTTCTATTTTCACTTCCCCTAAAAGAGTTGTGTTACTTTGGTTGGGGTACTTATGGTGTTCTAAAACTCCATCATCCAGAGTTCTTGTTCCTTTGGAAGAAGGCTGAGTTATCTGTGGGAGAAGAGGTGGGGTAGAAAGAAGTAATTGTGATGGTGGTGGTGTGGTAGTGGCAGAAAAGGAATCCTTAGTGAACACTGAGCTTTCCTTGAAGTAAGCACCATTTATTTCATTTTGCTTTAAATACTGTTCAGAGCTGCCACCAGGAGCTTGAAAATTGCTGCTGGAACCTGAACAGAATTCTTCACCAGATACTAGTTTTGTGGTTCCTTGGATGTTACTATCTTCTGCAGGAGATGAGCATATCTCAAAAACTGATTTTTGTGGATTTTGTTCTGGTTTCTGAAAGGGACAGGTACCAGGAACTGCAGATGGTTTACTAGCATTATCAGCATCATGGGCCTCAGTCACCACTGCAGCTGGTGCTGGAGGCAGCTCAGAGTTCGAGGTCTGTGGGGAATTGTTCTGCCCTGAGGTATGGGATGGATGAGTGATCTCACACAACTCATTAGTAGCCAGCATGTTAATGGCATTTATGTGAGATGTGGTTTTCTGCACCGCAATGGAAACACAATCTGGATAATATTGAGACAGTGTTTTTTCCAGGAGTTCACCATGTGTGTTTTCCATGGAAGAGGCAGAAACTGTAGCACCATTAGGCATTAGCACTGTCTTGTTTTTAAGAAGTAATACAATGTTCCTGTCATGGTAGCTGACATTTTTCTTCTCTTGCACATTCAGAATCTGAAGCCCTACATTTTTAGACCCACTGCAGTTATGTGTTGAAAAACTGGCTAAATCTTTCATTGCATCTTCTTGGGCTACAGAGCTCTCAGGTTCTCTCTTATCACTCAAATCGGAGACATTTGGTTGACTGCTGCTTTCGTCTGGATTTTTTTCTTGGCTTTCCCCGAAGTTATTTCTTTCTCCATTAGCCTTTTGGTCTTGTTTCAATTTCTTGTTCTGATGGAACCCAGACAGAGAAGGTTCACTAACTGTGCGTTTTATTCCTCCATTCTGCAAACACATGGAATACCCCCTACCTTCTTGTATAAAGTCTGGACTTATACAACTATTCAGGCTTCCTTTCAGAGGAGGTAGTCCATAATAACTTTTTAAAGACTGCCACTTGGTATCTCCATTTACTTCTGAATAAGGTCTCTCAGTTAATGGTCTTCCATTCTGGAGCTTTATAGCCAGAGATTCTGACTGGCAAATGGCAGAAGGAGATGGTATCAGGAATGGACTTAATCTGTTGCCCTCAACATGGTTGGTTCTGTCTTGTTCCATCAGGCTTGCTTCGGGGCCATCCACAAGGCTGCCCTTTGAATGAATTCTAAAGAACATGGAAATAAAAATTAAAATGCATTAAAATGTATATAAA